AAAAAAAATTTATTTTGGCTGTTCCAGAAGTTTTTTTTTTAAGTTTATTTATTTACTTAGAGAGAGGAGAGAGAGCACAAACAGGGGAGGGGCAGAGAGAGAGGGAGAGAGAAGATCCCAAGCAGGCACTGTGGTATCAGTGCAGAGGTGGACGAAGGCTTGAGCCCATGAACTGTGAGATGATGACCTGAGCTGAAAACCAAGAGTCAGATGCTTAAATGACTGAACCACCCAGATGCCCTTGTTCCAGAAGTTTAAAAAGAGAAAAAGGAGGGGGTTACAAATTATCTTTAGCTCTGTCCATAGATGGGTAAGAGAAGAACCCATACAAGACATGACATTTGAAGAATTAACTCTACCATATCTAATAGGACATGGAGATTTTTCTCTTCATTTTTTTTAATGTTCATTTTTGAGACAGAGAGAGAGAAACATAGACTGAGCAGAGGAGGGGCAGAGAGAGAGGGAGACACAGAATCCAAAGCAGGCTCCAGGCTTTGAGCTGTCAGCACAGAGGCCAATGCAGGGCTTGAACCCACGAACCATGAGATCATGACCTGAGCTGAAGTCAGATGCTTAGCCGACTAAGCCACCCAGGCGTCCCAACATACAGATTTTTCTGATACAGCTATTTCTAGTGTCTTTCTAATATTCCTATTCACAGTGTTTTTTTTTTTAACCCAGCATATACTATAATCCCTGTTATGTACTGAATGTTTGTGTCTCTCTGAAATTTATATGTTACAATCTTAATCCTCAGTGTGATAGGTGTGGGTCCTTTGAAAGGTGATTAGGTCATGAAGGTAGAGTCCTTATGAATGGGATTAGTGCTCTTATGAAGGACACCCCAGAGAACTCCCTTCTGTTATGTGAGGACACAGCAAGAAAAGAGCCGTCTGTAAATCAGGAAGTAGCCCTTAACCAGACATGGAATCTGCCAGTGCCTTGCTCTTGGCATTTCCTAGCCTCTAGAAAAGTGAGGAATAAACATTCGTTTAAGCCTCCAAGTCTGTGATACTCTGTTATAGCAACCCAGACAAAGACAAATCTTTATCAGAAAGACATATTTCAAATTTCTTTCTGTACCATGTCTTAAGTGGCATAATGGGGGGGAAAAACACTGAGTTGTAAATCAGGATGTGCAGGTTTTAAATGAACCTTTGCTTAAGGAAAGGTTAGTGAAGGCTTTTAATGAAGGCTTGCTTAAACCAGTTACTCTCTCCCAGTCCTTACTTTCCAATTTGTAAATGAGGTGAGCTTTGGAGTCCTTTTTGACATAATCTAACTAGAATGCATTTAATGCACTTAATATGAAAAGCACCAAAAAAGAAAAAAGTTTTTTAAAAAGTTTCCATGAAAGTTATTCTATCTTACACTTAACTAACTCAGAGTTGATGTTTCTCATAACTCCCAATTTACTATTTAATCTGGTAGTCACGTGTATTAGTTATCTATAGCTGCATAATAGATTAACCTCAAAATTTGGTGGCTTAAAACAAAAAATATTAGTTCACAGTTTCTCTTGTTCAGAAATTCAGAAGAAGTTTAGTGGGTAATTTTGGCTCAGTATTGCTTAGGAGCATACAGTCAAGATTGTCTGGAGTTGCAGTGATCTAAAACCTGACTGGCTGTTTGGCAGGAAGCCTTGGTTCCTCACCAGGTGGACCTTTTCCATAGGCTGCTTCTGCTAAAGAAAAAAATTATTCTGACACTTGTTAAAATGGTAAGGAAGACTTTATTCAAAACTGTTGCAACTAGGGATATTGCAATAGGAAAGAGAGAATGAATTCAACTCTGATAGCTGGAAATTTGTAACCAAAGAGCAGAGTGAGGGTGTCAGTGACAGAAAACTACTAAGAGGAGACATCAGGATAAGGGGCTTATTACTAAAGGCAGGTCAAGGACTTAGACATCAAGAGTGGGGAATGAGGAACATGATCAGATATCAAGAGTGGGGTGTTGATTTAGCAAGATTCTTGCTAAGACTAAACTGTGCAGCCTTACAGAAGGCCAAGGTTGAGGACTATTCCAGAAGAGGGCTCAGAGGAGCCTAACTGAAGTTTCTGAAATTTGTCACTTGGGTGTCTTCAGGACATGGCAGTCAGCTTCCCCAAAGGTGAATCATCCAGGTGAAGGAGCAATCAGGAAAATGCACTGCCTCTTTATGACCTACTCTCTGAAGTTGCATACTGGCCCACTTTTATTTTTTAATTGGTTAGAAGTGAGTCACTAAATCCAATGGAAGAGGAATTAGGCTCCACTTTTTACAGAGAGTGTCAAAAAATTGGGGAACATATTTTGGACCACCACATCAGAAATGATGTCAGTTGAAACTAATGGTACAGGAACTCAACTCAGTTGTTGGTCATAAGATTATCTTTGCTCTAAAACTATGTTTATCTTGACATTTTAATTTTTTTCTTGTTTTAATAAACTTCTCTGTATGTTTATTTTTTAATGTTTATTTTATTTATTTTTGAGAAAGAGAGAGCAGAGGATGGGGCAGACAGAGAGGGAGAGAGAAAATCCCAAGCAGGCTCTGTGCAGTTGGCACAGAGCCCAACGTGCGACTTGATCTCACGACCATGAGATCATGGCCTGAGCCGAAATGAAGAGTCAGCTGCTTAACAGACTGACCCACCCAGGTGCCCCAACAGCTCTGTACATTTAGAAACTGGTTTCTCCTTTTCTTCAAAACATCAGCATTTTTGCTACAGATAAATGCTTGCTTTGAAAAATAAGGTTTTTTAAGCTTTCTCTCCCAAGCATCACCCTATCTGTTCCCATACTCTGACTTCTGATATCTATGTTTTTGAAGCCTGAAGGGAAAAAGGACATGTCCAGTTCTCAGCTATAAACTGCATACCAGAGATGTATATTGATATTGAAAAGACTGACATGAGAGGGGCGCCTGGGTGGCTCAGTTAGTTAAACATCTGACTTCAACTCAGGTCATGATCTCACAGCTCGTGGGTTCAAGTCCCGCATTGCGCTCTGTACCGACAGCTGAGAGCCTGGAGCCTGCATCAGATTCTGTGTATCCCTCTCTCTCTGCCCCTCCCCAACTAGTGCTCTGTCTCTCAAAAAATAAAATAAAAACATAAAATAAATAAATAAAATTTTTAAAAAGACTGATATGAGAGGCCTTCAGGAAAATCCTAAGATCTTGTGACGTCAATATGATGATTTTTTTCTCCCTTTCTTGTGGAAAATAGTTAGAGGTAATAGGCTATTATCATTGTTTGTAAGCAGAATGCATCAAGATTTTCCAATACTTGGGGCACCTGGGTGGCTCAGTCGGTTGAGCTTCCAACTTCAGCTCAGGTCACGATCTCACAGTCTGTGAGTTCAAGCCCCACGTCGGGCTCTGCGCTGACAGCTCAGAGCCTGGAACCTGCTTCAGATTCTGTGTCTCATCTCCCTCTCTCTCTGACCCTCCCCCGTTCATGCTCTGTCTCTCTCTGTCTCAAAAATAAACAGTTTTTAAAAATTAAAAAAAAAGATTTTCCAATACTAGATTAAACATATCTTAACAAAAAGGAGAACATTGTTTGCAAATTTGCTAAGGTAAGTCTATTAAAAAGAAAACAAGAATGGGGTGCCTGGGTAGCTCAGTCGGTTAAGCATCCGACTTCAGTTCAGGTCATGATCTCACAGTTCAGGAGTTTGAGCCCTGCGTAGGGTTATGTGCTGACAGCTCAGAGCCTGGAGCCTGCTTTGGATTCTGTGTCTCCCTCTCTCTGCCCCTCCCACAGTTTGTGCTCTGGCTCTCTCTCAAAAATAAATAAAAACATTAAAGAAATTCCTTACTTGCTTTTCAATGTTTCTTCAAACACAGTGGTTCTCTAACATTAGAGCGTATTAGGATAACCTGGAGGTCTTATTAAGACAAAGATTGATGGGTGTTACTGCCATAGTTTCTGATTCAGTAGAATTGGTAGGTGGGGCATGAAATTTTGCCTTTCTAACTAGTTTCCAAGGGATGCTGATGCTGATCTTGCTGGTCTAGGGACCATACTTTGTGAACCACTGTTAGAAAGACTAAATAATAAATGGCTACAGAGGTAATAAAGTTAAATTTACCTCCTGTGAGGTCAAAGTTATGATGGATTATCATGTGGCCTATAATTTCCTCCCCGAGGAAAGCAACAAAAGGGGTTTCTTCATTAAGCCTATGATTATGATCCATGTGAACTGACACATTTATCTTTTCCTCCTGTAGTGAGGCAAGGGTCACATCTCACTCTTCAAAACCAATCCTTCCAGTTGTATTCCACATAATTTAAAAACAAATACAAATTAAAAATAAGAGACTTAATTCCATTTCCAGAAATGGAAATGCAAAGTAAGCTGTCATGTCTATAAATTGGCTTCTATCCCCACCTATTTCTTCCTGTCTTCCTGTTATAGAAGTAGAATTTTCTCCTACTGTCCAAGACCAATTCCCTCCACTGTCCTCTGAATACCACTTCTTTCAATCTTCTCAGGATGTTCACTCTTCTCACTGTCTTTTATTTTCCTAATTCCCTTGCTAACAATCCTTTAAGTTGATCAAGTCTCTCCCAACATAGCAGTCATAATAATTAACACAAATTTCCTAGATGCCACATCTGGGAACTGAATCCATTGTATATTGCCCCTGCCAAATTTCATTAAAACACTTACACTTGCTGACTCCATTTTCTCATAATCCACTCATTCCTTACCCACTCTTCATCTGGCTTCAGCCTCCAAATCTCAGTATATGGTCCCAAAGCAATGGATGCTTTTCAGCCTGTGCTACATAATGTATAGGCAGCATTTGACCCAGTTGACCCATTTGAAGCCCATTGGGTCTCTCTCTTCCTTGAAACACTCCCTTGGTTTCTCTCATATTCTGATTATTTTCTTCCTGTCTCTCTAGCTGCTCATTTTCAGTCTCCTTTGTTTACTCTTCCTCTCTACTCAGACACTGGGTAATCTCTTCCACCCACATAGGTTCACAGACTCTGGTTTCAAAGACTCTTTCATAGCTCTCAAATCTCTGCCTATGGTCCATTCTCTTTCTCCTTAACTCTAGACCTATGCAGGGGTGCCTGGGTGGATCAGTCAGTTAGGCATCCAACTTTGGCTCAGGTTGTGATCTCATGGCTCGTGAGTTCGAGTCCCGCATCGGGCTCTGTGCTGACAGCTTAGAGCCTGGAGCCTGCTTCAGGTTCGGTGTCTCCCTCTCTCTGCCCCTCCCCCACTTGCACACGTGCACTCTCTCTCTCTCTCAAAAATAAATAAACATTAAAAAAATAAAAAAAAAATTAAAAATCCCACAAACTCTAGACCCATGCAGCCAACTACCATATACTGTAAAGGAGACATCATCTGATTTTGAAGGGAGCTCAGTCATCAGGTCTAAAACTGCTCACACCATCTCTGCCCTCACCCCATCCACTCCTTTTCCCCATTAGCTGCACTACTAATCACGTCTACCCTGGTGCTCAAACTAGAATATTGGCTTCTTCTTCTCCTTCTACACCAAAATCCCAATCAATCAGCAATTCTACCATTTTTACCTCTTAAATATATTCCACATCTATAACTCTGTCAATAGTGTCCTTTGATGTACAAAAGTTTGTAATTTTGGTTAAGTGCAAAATGTCCATTTTTTCTTTTGTTGCCTGTGCTTTTGGGGTCATCCAAGAAATTATCACCAAATCCAATGTCATTAAGTTTTCTACGTCTTCTTCTAAGAGTTTTATAGTTTTGACTTTTATGTTGGAGTCTTTGATCCATTTTGAGTTAATTTTTATATGGTTTTAGGTTGAGGGTCCAACTTTGTCCAGCACCATTCTTTGAAAAAGACTGTCCTTTCCCCCAGTGTTTGATTTTGTGCCTTATAATTTAATAATGACAACTGAACTAAAATACTTGAAAATGTGCTGACTAAACAAAACACCTGCAGACTGCATTTTGACCCAAAGGCCACTAATTTGCACTATGGGGCTTTAATTTCATTTTCACATTAAATTTAACAAATGAGTTAAGGGGAGTGAGAGATAGTGTCGCCTACCATAGTCCAAGCATTGTACCAGGTGCTGGTGATAAACTAGGCGCAAAGTTTCATATGTTACATTCCTAGCATCAGTTTAAAGTTGAGTGAGACTCGTGAAAACATCATTTTATATTAACACCATGTTAAATGCTTATAAATACGGGGAGCAAGCAGAGAAAAAGTTAAGAGAGGAGGAAAATAAATTTTTTAAATAGTTGTGTAATAGACTAAAACCAGCTACAAGCACACCCTGTTAAGAGGCCGTGGGGATGGCCTCAAGGCCAACTACCAGCTTTCTTCCCGACCGCGCTGTTTTTCAGACCAGAAGGCTTTCCCCTTGTATCGGGACGTCATCCGGAAGCGCCGGGAAGAGGGGGCGGGATTTCCGGCTTCTGGAACGGAAAGGGACGGAAACTAAATGAACCAACGGGCTTAATTCCGTGTGAGGCACGTATTTGGGCTCAGCACTTCACTACAGAGTTCTGCGTCCTCTCCAGGTCTCCGCGGTTTGCACGAGCCGGAGCCACTGTTTCTGCACTCCTGGTATGGGCATGTTTCTTATCTTAGTTGTGTGTGTTGCGGTGGGACAACTCGGGAAACCATTGTAAGATACACGTTGTGGAGCATGCGTGCTAAGAAGGCCCACAGATAAGTGGAAGCCCAGCGATTTAATAAACTATAAGCAGCACAATACCTGGAACAAGAGGAATGTTTACCAAAATGATTGCCTTATTTGTTTTAAAATTTGGGTTTCATTGCTCTGATATCCTAAAAAAATCTTAACCAATTATAAAGACAAAACTCAGAAGACCTTTGTTTTTGAAATGTTTTTCATAACAGGATTGAGGACTCCTGGTGAAATAGGAAGTCTAACTTTTTTCTTCTTTAAATGGTGGCCAAACATGGAGCGCCCGGCTGACTCAATCCGAAGAAAATGTGACTCTTGATCTTGGGGTCGTGAATATGAGCCCTACATTGGGTGATTACTTGAAAAAAAAAAAAAAAACGAATTTTTTTTTTTTTTTTTAATTGGGGGCACCCGAGTGGTTCAGTGGGCTCAGCCTGGGGCTTTTGGTGTCAGCTCAGGTCATGATCTCAGGGTTCCCCATAGGGCTCTGCACTGACAGCGTGGAGCCTGCTTGGGATTCTGTCCCTCTCTCTGTCCCTCTCCTCTTGCTGTCTCTCAAATTTAAAACAAATTTTTAAAAATGCAGGTGTCTCAACATGTTTTATATGTGAAAAGCATTGGTCCAGGATATCTATTTGAAAAATACTTGAGTGATTACTGTGAGCCATAAACTGCCAAATGTTGGGTTCAATTTTAATATAAATACAGTCCTTGTCCTGATAGAGTTTACTGTCTAGTCAGGCAAATAAGTAACCAGGCAATTACAAAAGAGTGTTACAAGTACTGTGATGGAGAGTTACAGGGTGCTGTAAGAACTACTAGGAGGAATACTTGGTCTAAAGTTTGAGGTGAAGTATAGCTAGAGATGTAGCTGAAGAGGTAAACAAAGGATGATTTTGTGGAAAACTTTATAAGCCATGTTTGTAAGTTTGGGATTTAACCTGGCAGCAATGAGCTTAAAAATACACGTTGGGGGAGCGCCTGGGTGGCGCAGTCGGTTAAGCATCCGACTTCAGCCAGGTCACGATCTCGCGGTCCGTGAGTTCGAGCCCCGTGTCGGGCTCTGGGCTGATGGCTCAGAGCCTGGAGCCTGTTTCCGATTCTGTGTCTCCCTCTCTCTCTGCCCCTCCCCCGTTCATGCTCTGTCTCTCTCTGTCCCAAAAATAAAAATAAAAATACACGTTGGGGATGATACAAGTGCATTGATCAGATTTGCACTAACTTCAAATGGCTTAGAGATGAGGCAGAGCAAATCTGGAGGCTAGGGGATGCAGTTAGGGTAATGGGATTCAAGAGAAGTGAATGGCTCAAGATGTATTTAGAAAGTAAAGTGAATTGAGGCCCCTGTATGGCTCAATTGATTAAGTGTCCAATTTTTGGCTCAGGTCATGATCTCAAGGTTCATGAGTTCGAGCCCTGATTCAGACTCTTTCCTGACAGCTTGGAGCCTGGAGCCTGCTTCAGATTCATTGTCTCCCTCTTTCTCTGCCCCTTCCCCTCTCAACAATAAACATTAAAAAAAAGAAAGTAAAGTGAATATAATTCAGATGGATTAGATATGGGGGGTGTGAGAGAGGGCGGTAATAAAATGACTTCCAGTTTCTGGCTTAAGCAAATGGATGGATAGCAGTGTCCCTCCCTGAAACCATGTGTAAGGAGAAGCAGATTGGAAAGGGAAGGGAGAGAGATTATTTTAATATGTTGCATTTGAGGTGTTTCTTCTGATGCGTGGTGGTTGAAGCCATGGAGGAAGATCAGACCTCATACAGAAAATTTTAGATTGCAAAAAAAAAAGGGGGG